AAAAAAAACCTATGGTCTTTTATCAGCCAAAGGATTGCACTGTATGAAAATTAATGAAACATGCTGATAGCACCATTAATATAACTCTTGCCAGAGTTAGGAATCACAGTAATATAAGTATCATTTAATGGTGAAGAAAGGGATCTTGATTCAAAAGCATGCTTATAAAGACAATGATGTTTTGGAATGAACAAGTTAGAAAATGTTTTGTTCCAGTCAGCTGGAAACCCATCTGGACCAAGTGATTTCCCAATATTTATATTTTTATTTGCTTTTGTAATTTCCTCAATATACAGACAAGAGAAACTATCATTCTAAACATGAAAGATTAAATAAAAAAGCATCCATGGCCTGTTCTGATGTTTCCTGTACTATAGAAATCAAAATCAAACTTTTAAAATCTTTTAAAAGAAGTCTATCATACCACTCTATTATTTGATATTATTTGTGTTGTAAGCCGCCCCGAGGCTTCGGCAAGGGGCGGCATAGAAATGTTATAATAATAATAATAACAACAACAACAACAACTGAAATTGCATGTTTGTATTTATGTTGTTTAAGATGATCTGTCAAAATGTTTCCAGTATTTTCCATTTCCCTAAAATGCTTGTTGTCAACAGGTTGATGTTAATAATTATTATTCAGTTCACATTTAACATTTACCAACTCCTGATAAAGTTATGAATTTTGGCAGGTAGCAAACTGGGTTATGAGAAAATTCTTACTTAAAGGTAACAAGAAACTCCTTATATAATGATTGTAATTGCATTAAAAACACTCTTATAAGAGACATTAAGTAGTAATTCAGCTCCCTATAAAAGCTTTACTGGCCTCCCACACAATGGCAGTTTCATGGGTCTGTCTACTGCCCAAAATACTTAAATGCTTTATGTCAAGGAAATATATTTCTTTCAGAGGGCAGCCCAGTGGTAGTGCGATCAAACACAATCAGGTTTAACAGTCAAGAGTACAAAGATCACAAACAGCAGCAAGGTAAAATCATCGATGGTATGTAGAAGTAAGCAAACAAGGCTGTTGTACACTCCTCCATGAAACACAGCAAAAATATGTTACAGATAGAATTCAGCACAAACCTGAAACTGGTCACTGGCAACTTGAACAAAATGCTGCAGAGTTAACACTTTCTGTTAGTTGGCTGCATCTTCCTCAAGGATACTCAAGCTGTAAGGACCTTAAGGGCACAATCCTATGTACGCTTATGGGAAAGGGGAGAAGAAGACTAGTTCCAAGCATACCCCAGGCAACATGGGAGGTACCAGATCAGAGAATGGGAAAATATTACATTATAAGCAGGGCATTTTGGACACTGAACATTCCTTCACTACCAAGCGTGCTCAGTTGCCTCAGTGTCATTATTTTTTGTTTTTAAATTTTATTTATTAAATCTCTAACCTACCCCAATAGCTGTACAGATCCCTGGGCAGGTTACAGAAACAAACAAAACAAAATCAAAACAAAATAAAATACAGATTACATACAATAAAATCAGGAAAAAGACATCAGGAAAAGCTTCCTCACTGTCAAAGCAATACAACAGAGGAATCAGCTTCCCAGAGAGGTGGTGGGCTCTCCCATACTGGAGACATTCAAAAAGAACCTGGACAGCCATCTGAGTGGGATGGTGTAACTTGGTGTCCTGCAACAGCAGGGGTTTGGACCCTATGGCCTTCCTGGCCCCTTTCAACTCTATTATATAATTCTATGATAAAACAACAATTACAAATAAAAACATGCCTGTGTTACCCTACAACCCCTGGGAATTTCCCAAGACCTCTGTCTTGTCACTTGCTATCTCAATTTTGCTTCCTTTCCTGCTAGCACTTAGCACTTGTAGGGCAAGTGACTACAAGAGCAGGGCAAGAGATCTAAAAACAAAGCATTTCAATGTAATTTGATACATAGCATTACAGACAGGGGAAATGTTAATATTTAATACGGTGTATCTCATGAATCTAGACAGTATAAACAGAAGGTGGTCAGAACCTTAAAACATAAAAAATAAAGAATAGGTGGAAAGGTGGGGAGAGAGAATCTACAAATTATACTAGAGACATTTCCTTCCATGCGAGAAAGAGAGATTTTAATGAACTCATTCCCTATTCTCCTGCAGTTGATAAGTAATCTCTGATCACACCTTGAATGTCAAAAACCAGAGCATGTTGAGCTGACTGTTTTCCTGTCTTGCAGCAGATAAAAAGAATTCAGTTTTACTTATGATTTTGCTGTTTGTTTGTTCCTATTCTCTCACTCAGCAATAGTCTAGCTCATTAGGAAAAACCAGAAAGCTTTGCAATTTGAAAAGTAACAGGGAAGAAATATCTAGGCCATGCCAGTATAAAGAAAAACCTCATATAGTAGCAATTTTCTATTCTTTGTCCTACTGCAGATTTTAAAAAAATTAAATTGAGCAACAGACAAAACAATGACATCCGCAGCTACTGTAAGACTGGCAAAAGGAATTTGTTTACAATCAATGGATCAAAACTGCATGGAAGCTATAGAATTTACCATATTTTTCCATCTATAAGATGCCCCCATGCATAGGACGCCCCCCACTTTTCCTACCCATCTCCAGTGAGCAAGTTGCTGCTACGCGGGCACCACCTCACCGCCCCCCCTGCCCGTGTGCACTGCCTTGCCACTGCCCTCACGCGCCGCCTCGCCACCCCCTACCCGCGTGCACCCACAGTTCTCTTGCCCCCCCCCATGTATAAGACACACCTCCATTTTTAGGTAAATGTTTTTAAGAAAAAGTAGCATCTTATACACGGAAAAATACGGTATATGGTTTGAGAGCACCAGGTGGTGTCAGCTTGATCCTGTTATATGCTAAAGCAAGATAGCATATAACATAAGTAGGCCTGACAGGTGACTGTCAAGTGCCTTGGTGG